CGGCCACCTAAAGGTGCGGGATTTCATTTAAAATGTTATCTCACCAGGTCTTTAGTCACCTGGGGGTGAGATGGAACGTACCATGAGCCCTTAGGAACAAAAGCAAGTGGAAAGGGCTGTTTGTGAAGGTGTTATTGATCCCAGTCCTCCATCCACCACAAGAGAGGACGTGTCCTGCCCTCAGTGGTCTTCTGCTCATTGATGCTGTGGTCATCATTCTCATGGGCACGAGCTCATCGGTGCTATGCGTGTGCCAGTGTGGTCAAACATCACTCAATGGGCTAAGCTACAGCTCTGCCCATTTCCAGTAGCCCCTCCAATACTCTGGATGTTTTGATCATAATCTCTTTGACTACTCCTTTAAAAAAAAATTCATAACCTTTCATATCTATCAGGAAATGGCTCATCTTCAATATTTGTGTTAGTTCCCTGTATATCTTAGATGTTAGACCTTTACCACAAATGGGGATGAAAACGTTTTTCCCATTCTGCAATTTCTCTTCATATTCTAGCTTGATTGATTTTGTTTGTGCTAATTTTGTATCAGAAAAAGTGTATATTCTGTCTTTTGTACAGCTAGTGAGGGCACTATAGCCTAGTGGGCAGAGACCCAGATGGAGAGAGGAGACGGAAGAGAGCAGCCACGTTCGCTCCTCTGTAGAAGGAGGTCATCCCTGTGGCTGTGGTGGCTGGCTACTCCGTAGCGTAAACGCGTAGAAAGCACTCTGCGTAGGGCCGTTCTCCCGGACTCGTCTGTATCTTACTCTGCCTTGTTGACCAGGGTTCTCAGGCCCGTCGTGGTGCAGTCATGTGATTGTTTTCCCAGGTCTGCTCCTTTCGCCCCCACGACTCTTTCTAGTTTGGACAGCCTCTTGGAAGGCTTCACAATTGTCATTTCTTAGGATGCTGGAATCTTCCACTCGTGGCTCTGCCCTTCTTCCCCTATTCCAGTCTCTCACAAAGGAGCAAGGCGAGGGATGTGCCAGGGCCCCTCCAGGAGCTTGGGCCCTGGACCGCACGCCAGAGCACATCCTCTGCTGCCAGCATTCTGGCGACATGTCCTAGGGACCAATGCTCATCAAGCACGTTTTCATGGTGGCTCATCACGGCCTCTAGAATGGTGCCGTCCTAGTGGTTTCCATTTCAAATGGGACGAGGTCTCACGCACAGCTCTCCTGCTCTGTCACTGTGGCCTTACAAAGGAGCGCCCCATGCCAGCAAAGGGCTATCCAGGGTGTCCGGGCTGCGGCAGGGTCTGACTGCTAAGAGCAAGGTCAGCGCCATAAAGAGCTCAGGGCTGGGGCAGCTAGGTGGTGCAGTGGATAGAGCACCGGCCCTGAAGTCAGGAGTATCTGAGTTCAAATCCGGGCTCAGACCAAACACTTGACACTTACTAGCTGTGTGACCCCAGGCAGGTCACTTAATCCCAGTTGCCCAAAAAACAAAAAACAAACAAAAAAAAAGAGCTCAGGGTTGCGGAGGGAAAACAGCAGTGGGGGATGGGCCTCAGGAAGGTGAAATCCAGACTTGGGGGGGTCCCGGGAACCACCACTGAGGGAAAGAAGGATTTTTCCAGCAGGAGCAAGCCACACGGTCACACCTACTGTTGGGAACGTCCCTGGCAACTGCGAGACAGGCGAGGCATGAGGGGCAGGCACGTGAGCCATGGGGGGCGGGTCCAGGACGTCCGAGAGGCACTTGGTGCCAGAGTGCAGCCGGCCGGACGTGTAGGGCTACCAGTCACATCTCAGTCTGTCACGCAGCGTCAAGTACTTAGCAGGGGCCAGGCGCTGTGCTGGGCCCGGGGAGACCAGACGTCTACAAATCAGTAAGAACAAAATGAGGAGGAGGAAGGTGCCTTCACACGGTGCCTACTAGGACGAAGCATCTCAGTTATCCTTGTAACAGCCCTGTGGGGGAGGCACTGTTATCCAAATCTTACAGTTGAGGAAACTGAGGCAAACAGAAGTACAGTGACTTGCCCAAGATCACTCGGCTAGTCAGTAGGCTGGATCTGAACTCAGTGAACCCCCAGCTGTCTCTGGGTAATTTGGGGAGGGAGGACGCTGCACTGGGGGTCTGGGGCCAAGCACAGGCTTCATGGAGGAGAGGGCAGAAAGCAGAGTTCCCAACAGAGCCACATTCCAGGCAGGGAGGATGGAGCACCATGCGTGAGAAGCTAGCTTGCCTGCAGAGCGGCGTGTGTGAAGGGGTGATGGGTGAAGACCCAGGTCCCAGCTGCCTGCCCTGCTGGTTGGGCCAAACAGAGAAGCTGTATTGGAACCCAGACGCGGAGGGATGCCTTCAGACGGGCGCCTTAGGAAAATCACTTAGGCAAATCAGGTCAGAGGACAAAGTGACGAGATGGGAGGACACAGAGACAGGGAGACCAGTCTGGAGGTCATGGCAGCCACTGAGGCTGGCAGGGGATGGCCAGACGGAACAGGTAAGAAATGGGTGAGGAAGCGGCGGCAGCACGTGTAGCCAGCTTGGTCAAGGTGTCTATAGCTGCGTGCTTAGATAGCTGAAGCCGTGGGACGAGCCCAAGGTCGCGGGGAGGGGGGCATAGACTCAGCCAACAAAGTGGACGGAGGAGGAAAAGCCCAGAGAACCGCAAGTTTCAACACTTCCCAGGAATTCTGTAACCCCTAAGGAGGTTACAAGCTAAGGTGATCTGCTGATACAGACACAGCACCCATCCCATATTTCCTCAGCATCATCAGCCATCTCCACCATGCGTGGACTCCCTCCCTTCCAAGAGCTCTCATGTGAGAGAGGCTGCCGACGTCTGGACCAGGCCACCGTTCATTCTGAAAGGTCAGGCCACAGTAACGCCCAGGGCTGTGTTAGCTTAATCCTACGTGACTCTGAGTCGGAGGACTTCAGCTGAGACTTCAGGACGCAGAGACCATAAGCAATCATCGTCCTTAAACCAAGGCGGCGCCCACCTCCTCAGGACCCTCTGCCCAGGGACTACAGGCTGGAGCCCTGACCTCCCAAACCGCCACTGAAGGAATTTCCAGGTCGGGAATCTCCGTCCCAGCCCACGGCCCTCCCTCTGGACTGCTCGGGCTTCTCCATCACGTCCCCAACGTGGACAGGCACTCCCCCTCCACCCGTTTCCAGCTCTCTTCTGCCTTGTGTGTGTTGTGTCCCCCAGTGGACCGTGAGAGCCTGCAGGGCAGGCTCTGGCTCTTCCACGTTTGTATCCCCAGTGCTCAGTGCACTTCCTGGCACAGAGTAAGCACTTAATAAATCTTTACTGACCAACGGAAGATACTTTATGTAACATTTATACAGTGCTTTTACTCACAGTGCTGTAAGGTTTGCAAAACCCTTTATAAATGTCTCATTTCATCCTCACAACCTCCGTGGGAAGTGAGTGCTGCCCCTATTATTCCCATTTTACAGATGAGGAAACTGAGGCAGAAGGGTTAATGACTGACCAGGGTGACACAGCTAGGAAGAGTCTGAGCCCGGATTTGACTCTAGGCATGACCTCTATCCACTGAGCCACCTAGCTGATAAGAAGGTATTCTAAGAATGGCTAAGAACAGGTAACAATGTAGACGCCCAGCAGTCATCAGGGAATGGCTAAGCAAACCGTGGTGCGTGGACCTAACAGTATTACAGTGCTGTAAGAAACGATGTGATGAGTGCCGAGACGCGCGGGAAGATCCGCCTGAACTGAGGCAGAGGAAGCCAGCAGAGCCAAGAAACCGGTGAGCACAAAGATGGTGACGACGTCGTCAATGCCAGAGTCATAAACACCCAGCAGGGCTCTGAAGAGGCGGGATGAAAGGCCGCCCCCACCTGCGCCTTGGCGGAGGGAGCTCCTCGCGGCTCATTCCAGGGGAGGGCAAGGGGGAAGGATCTATGAGATGCCATGAGAAACAATCAATCAGAACTTACAGATTGGAAAAGTATAAAGTAAGTACCCAAGGACTGGCCGTCAAGACAAATTCTAGAGTCCAGCCCCGTGTCCCCAAGAGAATGCCCTCCACAACCTTCCTGACATGCCCAGCCTTGGTTGGGCCTCCTGTGACAGGGAGCTCACCACCCCTCCAGGCAGCCCACTGCACTCTGGGTCAGCTCTCACCATTAAGCTTTTCCTAACACAGAGCCTATATCCGCCCCGGATTCCTCCTCATGAAAGCCCTTCAGGGATCCCAATGTGGCTGTCGTATCCTGCCCCCACTCCATCCCGTCTTCCCTTCTACAGGCTGACCATCCCCGGCTCCACCAGTCTCCATCCCAGAGCGGCCTTCAGAATGCCCTCCAGCTTATCAGCCGCACCCCAACTGGACGGTCTTCATTTGGCCCCCCCACTGGGGACTGAAATAGGACCAGTGGCTTGAAATGAGCCCACTCTAACATAGAAATACTCCCTGATAATGACAGCTGCCTTGGACACAGTGGGCCTCCCCCCCGCCCCCGCCCCAATCCCTGCACGATGCCTTAACGAGCTCTCCTAAGGGAAAGGAAGGCTGTACAGAGGATGCTGCATTCCCACCCACGTCAAGGGGGCAGAAGGCCCCACGGGATGGCAAAGATGGCACTGTTTCATGCGTTTGGGTTCCCCTCCAGGAAGGGAAACCAAACAGGTGGCCCAAACCCCGCCTTCTGCAGGAGGCCTTTCCCCAGCCCTGGCACAGTCCCTGCCTTACCTATAAATAATCTTGCATGTAGTTGTTTCATGTGGTCTTCCTCATTTAGTTTGAGCCCCTGGAGGGCTTGTGTGTGTGTCTCTCTCTGATCCCCACAGTGAGCACAGGCCTTGGCCTAGACAGCGTAGGCACCTAACCTGGTGAGGACGACGAGGTAGGTCCCATGGAGACGCCAAGTCTGCAGTGGCTGAACCACCCCCGGTGTGGGCCACTCCCTTCAAGCTCAACACAAGCTGACCACCCAAGGAGCGGTGCGTTCCAACAAGGTGAGGTCACAACCATTCCTGGGAGGTGGATTTTGTCCCCTGAATGACCGTGGGAGGCAGTGACTCATTCACTCTGCCAGCATATCCATTTATTACCAAGGTAGGTCAGTGTTTGCCTGCAGAAGGCCCATTTGCCGTTTAGCTTGATTGTCACACGAAACCCTCGTGCCACTCACAGCCAGTGCGTGCGTATCCCTCGTGATTGGTCCCACAAGCCTCACAGTGAGGGGGAGGGCTCTTTCTCCTCCACGTTCAGCACAGTGTCCATAGTGAGACCAGTGTCTTCTAATGTCTGGTCTTCTCCCACTTTCAAAGGTCTTCTGGGATAGGAAGTGGAGAGGGTATAAATGGACCTGTGATAGCCCACTTTCATCATCCAGTCCAACGACACCTACAAGACAAAGAGACTGGTGACCACCATATTCATGCAACCCTCTGGTCCCTGGGACTTGTTAGCTGTTGTGCTGCTGAGTCCTGAGCACAGACAGAAGTCATCACCTTCCGGAGAGGGAAATCCCGGAAATCCTAGATGGCATGAGCCGGAAGCCAACTGAGAGAGTCTGGGCTAGGGCCTCCACCTGGGGAACTTTTCTTTGTAACCCTGAGTATTTCATCGTCTAAAGGTAACCACCATCAATCTGAGAAGGGATCCCTGGGCTGCTTCACCAGACTGACTGCTTAAGGGCAATCGTCCCACCCCTCATTTTACAGAGGAGCAAGCAAAAGGGCTAAAACCCAGGTCTTCTTTCTGCCCTCGGATCTGTCCTGTAAGCCACCACATATGCTGAGAACAAAGAAACCAGAATGGTTTTTAATCTTGGGCTGATACGGGGTCCAACGGTCCCTGATACTGCTGGACAGTTATGAAAGCCCCTTTGGGATGAGTTAGAAATGAGGCCTGGCCCAGCCACGAGGGCTCATGGGGGATTAAAAGACTTTAAGGCCAAGTGATGACGGAGAGATCACATAACAGGGAGGGCAGAAGTAACGATTCCATCCCACCTCTGACAATTAACGGCAATAACCACAGACAAGTCACTTAACTTCTCTGTGACTCAGTTTCCTTGTCTTTAAAATGCAAGTAACAATGTTGCTTGTGCTCATTTCACAAAATAATCTCTAGAAAGCGCTTTGTAGCTGCCTGTCTTACAAATGTTAGTGAGGGGGTGGGAGGTGGCCAGGGTGCCCCAAGCTTGAGGCAGCAAACAGTATGTGTGCCGGGCCTGTGTCCTCACCTGCTCTCACCCACGGTGACAAAATCTCCTCTCTAAAAAGCCTGGTTTGACTCACCTGTGAGCTGCACGTCTTGTAAAACCTCCGTCTGAGCACTCGTCCATCGGGACAGCGGAGAGCAACCGTAACCACCTGGGACGAGGAGGATGGGTCACTCACTGCACCTTCACGAGCCTTTCTCTCCATCCCAGCCAGCTGGCCGTGGGGCCCTTTCTGCGCAGCCCAGCGCCAGGCCTGGAGTGCTCTCCCTGACCAGGGCGCACACCCCGAGAAATCAGGTGGAGCAGAGTTTGTATGTAGGTCACTGTGCAGCCCGTGTCCTCCTCCTCCCCCCAGGAGGGCGAAAGCTCCCTGAGTGCAGAGGAGGCGTTATTTCTGCCTCTGTATCTCCAGCCTCTGGCTGTGCTCTACTAAATGCCTGCTGGACCAAAGCTAATGAGACGGGCTTGTGCGGCAGGCAGGGGCACGCCTTCACACACAGCCCCCTTCTTCCCTGGCCTCATCTCCGCGTCCTGTTGAGCTCCGACTCTCTGCCCATCCTTTCTAGCACCAGAGGCATCTCCCCTCTCCCAGCACATGCACACACACGCGCGCACACACACACACACACATGCACACACACACACACACACCCCTCCTCCAGTTGCTCTGGACCCTCCCTCTGCCACCATCGCTCAGCCACTCTCCTGCTGAGGCTCATTCTACACAATCCAGAGACTGGAGGCAGGGTCGTTGTCCTTCCTTTCTCAAGGTCAGCGCCTGGCTCACGGTCCTCTCCTGCCCTTAGACCGGAGGACTAAAACAAGCATTCACTAAGTGCCTATTGTGTGCCAGGTACCGTGCTAGGCGCTGAGAAAGCAGTGAGGAAGCGCTTATTAAACACTTGCTGTGTGCCAGTCACCGTGCCACAGGGCGACAGAGAACCAGCCCACGTGCCCAATACGGACAGTGTGAGCAAGCCGCGGGCCGACGAGGGGGCGGGCACCCTGCCCCCAAGGAGCTGATGGGGGAGACGCAGACATCCCCAACTATATAAAAATACACACAAAGCAACAGCCCTTCCGCCCATATCGCTTTGGCAGGTGGGAGAATGAGGAAACCTTCACTGGCCAGGTGAGTCACACGCCCTCCCTCACCGGGACCACCACGTCAGGGACAGCCCAGAGAAGCCAGCCCCGAGAGCCTCGGGCACAGGCAGGCCCCCAGCCCAGCCATGAGGCCTCCTCCTGGGAAGCGGCCCCTGGGAGATGTAGCCCAGCCAGGGCCCTCTGGGGGCTGTGGGCATGAGAACAACAGGAAATAGGAGGCGGGACCAGCCGCTAACCCTCCAGGAGGGGGAATGGGGGGGCTTCCCTCTGACTTAGGGCTGAAACCTCCCCTCCGGGTTGTCTCTCCATTAGAATGGGAGGTCCTGGGGAGCTCGGACTGTCAGACTGGTTTGTATCCCCAGTGATGCAAGCACAGGGCTTGGCACACAGGAAGCACTAAACAAATGCTTCATCCATTCATTCAGGTGGCAAATGGCACCTGAGTTTGGAAGGAAACAAGGGATTCTGGAAGGTGGACGTGAGGAGGAACAGTGTTCTAGGCACGGGGACAGCCAGTGCAAATGCTTGGAGGTGGGCATGGAGGGTTGTGAGTGAGGAACGGCAAGGTCAATTTGGCTGGTGAGGAGGGTCTAATAAGGCCAAAAAGGCATTTTAGGGTCAGGTTGTGCAGGGATGTGAATGACACGCAGGAGTTTCTAATTGATCTAAGAGGCAACAAGAAACTACTGGAGGTTACTGTGTGTGTGCAGACCTGTGCTTTAGGAAGATGGCTTCTACAACTGGAGGATAGACAGGAAAGGGGAGAGGACCAGGCTGGGCCTGGTGGCTATGTGAGTGCAGAGGAGAGGCTGGATGGGAGACAGGTGGAGGTCTGAATGGCAGGACTTGTCACGGATGGGCCAAACAGTGTGGGAGATGAGCCCAGGACTGAGGAAGACCTGCGAAGTGGAGCCGGGGGAGCATGGGAGGTTCAGAAGGGGGGCCTGCTAATGCCTGCCCTGGTCCCTGGCCCAGCATCCCTTGGCACCAAGTGGAGAAGGCTCTATCCCCAGCCCTTTTTGTTTTCACTGGGACAGAGTGAGCTGCCCAAGGCGGGCAGACGTGGATGACGCAGGATCGGCATCACAGATCACCCCCCAAGCCTCACTCCCCACCACTTCCCTATTGCCAGAGAGGGCACCACCATCCTCCCAGTTCCTCATCCTCCACTCTTCACTCTCTCACCCCCCAAATCCCAGATGGCGCTCAGGCCCATCCATTTCACCTTTGCAGCATCTCTGGTCAATTCCCTCCAGTCTCTTCTCTGATGCCGCTCCCACCCTGGGGCAGACCCTCATCACTTCCCGCCTGGACCACTGCAGTGGCTGTTGGGGGGTCTTCCTGCCTCGAGTCTCCCCACTCCAGGCCATCCTCCATTCACTGATTTCCCCAAAGTTCAGGTCTGACCATGTCACTGCCTTGCTCAAGGGGGCTGCTACTAAGCATGCTGTCCACACTCTGGCCAGCCTCCTTCTCCCCTGGGCCACCCCGCCCTTCCCTTTCTAGCTCCCGTTTCCCTCTTTTTCTAAAGAAAACTTTCTAAAGTAAGTTCTTGGGGCAGCTAGGTGGTGCAGTGGATAGAGCTCTGGCCTTGGAGTCAGGAGGACCTGAGTTCAAATCTGGCCTCAGACACTTGACACTTTTTAGCTGTGTGACCCTGGGCAAGTCACTTAACCCCAACTGCCTCACCAAAAAAGAAAGAAAGCAAACTCTCTGAGGGCAAGGGGCTGTCTTGCTCTCCTGTATCCCTAGCGCTAAACTCAGTGCCTGGCACAGAAGCGCTTAACAGATACACAAAGGAATGAGCCAGTGGCCTCATCCATCTGGCATAGCCAGGGGCTCCCTGCCGGCTTCGAGGACCCTCATTATCTCTGCTGCTTCACTCCTGCTTCTGTGTGTCCCAGCACCCGGCACGTGCCCGTGCTTTGTAAGTACACAGGCATCAGGTGTACGAGATCAGAAAGGCTGCTCTGTTGGGGCTGACACAGGCCTAGACCAGGCCTCCACACCCACAGCTTACCTCCTGGGCCATCTCTGGAGGTTCTTCAGGTAAAATGAGGGCCTGAGGAAGGAGGAGAGGAGGATGTTAAGGAGGAGAACGGGGTCCAACAGCCCCCTCCCGTCCTCCCAATCACTGGCCAGGAGCAGAGGCGCGCTGCCATCACTAAGGCAAGGTAAAAGAACCACGATGTTGTGGGAAAGCCTCCCATATCCAGGCTGGTCCCCGGCTCACTCCCCAGGTTCAATACATGGGAATGAGGGAGTCACACACAGATGTGATGGGTTTACAAGGGGAGGTGGCCGCGCCCGCTGCCCGCACTGCCCCAAGGTTCAGCCCCAGGGAGGACCTGCCCAGGCTTTTAGACTCAGGACGATCTCAATCACCCTGCCCTTAGTCCTGGGAGCCAATTAAGCCTTGGGCCTCATGCCCAGCCCCCATGGGGTGCAGGGGGGCTGACTGTGAGGTCCAAAAGTGGCCCTGAACGCCCGACCTCTTACTCCCCAAGGGCTGAGGGGTCCTTTATAGTGATTAACAGGATGACAGAGCGAAACCTTGAGTAACCAAGCTGTGCCGCCTTCTGACTGGCTAGAAAGAAGAAACCTCGCACGTTACATCATCTGGACCTCTCCTTTACTGGGGTGAGGACCTAGGCACTAACAAGGAAGGGCGAGAGGTGGGAGCTGAGGCTGCAGGGTTCTGGACCGACGCAAACCCCTGCCTGGGGCGGGGGGCGGGGGGGAAGAACTGAGGCCACTGAGAACCAGGACTGAGCCCTTGTCAGGGACTGAGCGGACAGGCCTGGGATGCTGCAGGGGATCCCTGCACAGCCTGAGAGCTGGGCCAGGCCCTTGCCAGTTCTAAGTACCTGCTCCCCTGGGGCCTCATGGGGCCTCTCCCAGTGCAGGGTCACTTTGTCAATACAATACGGCGTGGGTCTGGCATGTCAGTCTAGAGGGGCTGAGGCAGGTTGGACTCAGTGACCTGAGATCCTTCACATTCTGTGAATCTGTAAGATTCTAATAAATCAACTTAAATTGCAAAATTATTTCTGCTGCTTAAGACTTAGGTCAGTGTTGAATGCTTGGGCAAAGCCTGGTCCGCCGGGCTACCACAGCCTCCCTGTCGGATCGTGGGGCCATCAGGCCAGCCACAGGGAGCCGTGCCTGCCTTAGCCACGGTGCCTTCCTCTACCTCTGCTCCTCGGCCAGAATCTCCCTCCTCTGTCCAAGCTGACGGCTTCTGCCCCGCCTCCCTGGGATCCTGCCCTGACCAGCCGCGGATACCTGGCTGCAGGGAGGACAACCAACTTGAGTCCCAGGAGGAGGCAGGGTATCCATCCCCAAGCATGGTGGCCTGAAGACCACCCTAACTGGGGCTCCTCGGGGACACGTGTCTCCTTGCCAGGCCCTTCCCAGCGTCCACATGGGCTGTTGGCCAGTCCTGGCCCCAGGAGGCCGTCCGGGGACTCCCCTGTGATGGGAGGGAGGCTGCCCCAGGACTCTCCCCTCGGAGGTTCCCTGGGCATTTCTGTTTGGGCACGGCGGCCTTCTGCTAAGCCTGACAAAGGAAGGGGCTCAGTGCTTGCAGCTCCCGGCAGCAGCCCCAGGATGCTACCTTCTTTGCTCTGGGCTGCTTGGGAGAGGCTGGAACGGGGCTCACGTTAGCTCACGTCGGTTAGCTCACGTGCTCAGGCAGCTTCCGTCTCTCGTTTGGGGTGTCACCGGCTGCTCCATTTTCATTGGCAAGCCTTGGTTCTTCATGGCCCTGGTCAGCGAGACGGAGATTGATGAAGAGGGCTCCACAGGAGCTCTCCCTCCTTTTCTGGCGTGTCCCCAGGTCCGGGGGCACTCCGTGAGCACTCAGTATCTTTTTTATTCGACCATCCCGTCCAAGGAGCTCTAACATAAACTGTAAAGGAGGGAACCCTTTGAGCACAAGGAGAGGGTCGCCCTGAGCTGAAGGCCTGGGCTCCCTTCCAACCCACCCCCACCCCCTTCTCAGCACTGCAGGAGGTCACTCATGACCGTAAAAGATGACTTCAGAAGGGTGGAGGGGTCACTGGCCGCCCACCCTGCACTTCAGAGCTGAGGTCAGACTTTGTCACCTCCAAACAAAAGTCTCGAGGATTTCCCCAGTTTACCTCCTGGCTGCTCAACTCATTGACCACTTTTAAAAGAACTTCTGACCACAAAGGACTCCAGGGCTTGTTTTTAATCTCTTTTTAGGGAGCTGAGCAGAAAGCACAGGAATTATTCCATAAAGCAGAAGTTCCTTTCTTCCCCTCTGGCTGCCCACTCATTTAAGGGTTAAATCCTTTTTTATCGATGCACCTCCCACTAACCTTAAGTCCAAAAGCTCCCCCAGGTAAGGCAGGAGCCCAGCGAGAGGATGGCCAGGGTGCTGGGTTGAGTGCACCTGGGAGCAGCCTGAATCTGCCACTGACTGTGGGGCCTCGCTGGGAGAAGGCCCGTCCTTTCCCAGGCCTTCAGATTCCCAGATGTAGACCAAGGGGGCTGAGACCTTCAGCCAGTCTAGACCAGGCTGCCAGGATGCTGAGTCTGGGCTCCAGACCCCCTGTCACTGACCCATCTGGTGAAAAGCAGCATGCATTTTTGCTCATCGGGCTATGATTCAGAGTAAACTAAATTGGGGCCCAAAGGCTTAGGGCAGACTCAGCAGGCAGAGCTGTGCCAGGTTATGTCTGCAGCTGGGCCCAAGGAACAGGTTTGAATTCTGACAGTGATTTACAATCAAGGAATTGATTTGACTGCTGGCCGGGCAGCCTGACTGGAGGGACTGATCTCCAGCGTGCCATGTAGACCTGCTCCTTCTCACCCTTGAATTCTGGACTCCTCTGCTACGATGACTCACGCAGGCCATTTCAGAAGTAGCCAGAGCAAGAAGTGACCCGAAGCCGTTCAGTGGAATCACCTGAACCACAGCAGAGGAGACCCCTTCCCACCCAGGGGCCACCTGAGGGTCACCGATCCCTTCTTAATGCCCCGATGGCTTTCTGATACGCCGACAGGCTGAAAGGAACGGAGAGCCCCCTTTTCACCCGCTCCCTGAAGCCCACCGGAGTTATCATTTCTACCAGCTTGCCTCCCCCCAAAGAGGACAAACAGCCACTAGGTAAAGAGACAACGAGATTAAAACAAAATGGTCCTGGGGCGGAGAGGATCTCGCACCACAAAGGTGGGCTTGGGTGCCACCCCACGCCTCACACGTCCTCTGCCGTCCTCTGTGCCAGAGCCTAGGCCGAATGCCAAAGCTGATCTGCAAAGAGAGCGGAGCAGAGGAGGGTCTGCTTTCCCAGCCCAGGGGCCCACACGCTTCCACGCCTGAGAGACCCTCCACCTGGCGCCCCCAGAGGATCTGATTCAGAGGACGCGGGCTCAGATCCCTGCGCTGACATGTGACCCCTAGCTCCCTCCTCCCCAGGCCCCTGGTCTGCCTCGAGAAGCCTCTGGAATTCATCTTTCTTTTCCACCTCCATCCAGTAAGTCCCGAGGGCAGGGACTCTGTTGTTCCTCATATCTGCATCCCCAGCACTTGGAGCAGAGCCGGCTGCCCCGACTGCCCACCCCTAGGTTTGCTCATCTTTAAAATGAAGGGCCTGGACGAGATGACCCCAGAGGGTCCATCTGGCTCTAGCGCCCTGATCTTATAGTCTATGCACAGAGCCCCACCTCCAATGGGCGGGCACCAGTGGGCCTTCTGGGGAGCCGGAGGGGAGAGAGGTCACCAAGTGGGCCTGTGTCTCGGGAACCCCCTCAGTCCCTGGGGGCCGGAGGGGAAGGGGGCAAAGTTCCCAGCACAGAAGAGGGTCAGCCACAGACATTTGAGGCTTTGTGCCCAGATGTCACATGCAAGCCTGATTCAGAGGTGATCAGCAGGGGCAGTACTGAATTCGGCTGGAGGGGTGGGGAGATGTTGTTATCTGGATGAAGTGAGCAGCAGCTGGGGAGCAGACAGCCCCTGGCTTCAAACGCGGCTTCAGATGCTGAGAGGCTGTGCGAGCCTGGGCAAGTCACTGGTTCCAGTGAGGCGCTGGATTCCAGGGCCTCCCAGGCCCCATCTGCCTCCAAGGCTGAGATGCTCAGGAGGAGCTCAATGACAGGAATTCAAAGGGAGAAAAAAGGGAAGAGAAGAGCAGGATAGGAGTGGGTTTCCCCCAAGAAAGAAAAACCAAGGCAGGGCTGGTGGTGGTTACTGGGCGGCCCCTCCACCTCCCCTCGCGCTGTGGTCCCCAGGAAACGGACAGGGGCTGTACTGGCTTCCCTTGGTGTGAGGGGGCGAGGATGCTCAGGCAGGATTCTACTGACAGGCCCGGCTGCTGGGGTTTGAGCCCTGGACAAACGGATGCAGAACTACCAGTCTCACTCAAATGAGAACTGAGGGGCACAGGCTGCTGGGAGACCTGAGAAGGACTGTGTGAGAGGGCTGGGGTAGAGGGAGGGCAGCAGCTCACACAGCAGCCTTGTCGAGACTTCCAAAGACCTTAATGACCACGTGGTGATTCCAGGAAGGTGAGAGAGGCTGAGCTCCCTGAGGGCACCTGGGACTGCCTTTTGCCTCTCCCTTAAAAAATGTTTGCGGATTGAATGACTGATAGTGATAGATGACAAGAGGCAATGCTCAGGGTGCGGGAGACAGATCTCTTGGATGGGGCCAAAGTGGGGATTTGTCTTGCTTAATTATGCAAGTCTGTCGTAAGGGATTTGTTTTTCCTTTTCAACAGGGAGTGGGGGTGGGGGGAAGAGAAAGTGAATTGTTAATCAAAAAAAATCATTTTTTTCAAAAGGGGGGCGGGACATGACAGTTGAGTCCAAGTCTCTGAAGGTCGTTTTGGGGAAGACAGATTGGACTCACTCCTTTCAGCCCCGGAGGGAAGAACAGGGAGCAGTGGGTAGAAGTTACAGAGAGACAAACTGGCGGTGAAGAAAGCCTCCCACCAACAGCACTGCACAAAAGTGGCCAGGAAGCGGAGGAGGAATGACCCCTTGTCAGATATGTTCATGGGGATTTTTTTTTTTCTGAATTTGGGCTGGATTACATAGCCATCGAGGTCCCTTCCAATTCTAAAATTCTGCGACTAGAATTAGCACTAGAGAAATTAAAATTGTGTTTTGTTTTAAAGGAATACAATGTAGCAAACTATGATAAGCCAAATTTACCACTATTACTTTGAATGTAAATGGATTAAATTGTCTTCTAAAAAGAAAGACTACCAGACAGACTTCAAAAAGCCAAAAACCTTGCCCACGGGAAAGAACGCAGGGACATTCAGGAGGCAGGAGTCTCTCCAAAAGAGACGGACTCTTTAGGCACCCTGGGAATGAGAACCATCATTCTCCCAGGCCACCACCCAAGGAACAGCGGAACACAAGTATGCCAAGAAGAGCATCCACTCACCCCAAGCGTGTAGCCATCAAGTAATTTCCAGGCTTCCCTGGTCATTTGATAGAAGCGTCCTTCCTGTCTTCTCAGCTTCATTTCCTGTGAGGTTTCCAGACATTCTTCAGGTATGCACTGCTCTGTTCACAAAAAGCAACGATGTTACTAACGTGGAAATATGTTTAAAATGATTGTGCATGTATAACCTATATCAGATTGCATGCTGTCTTGAGAAGGGAGAAAAAAATTTGGAACATTAAATCAATATCTTATAAAAGTGAATGTTACAAACTATCTTTGCATGTAATTGGAAAAAATAAAATATTATTAAGTGGGGAAAAAATGAAAAATAACAGCCTCAGACACTTGATACTTCTTAACTGTGTGACCCTGGGCAAGTCACTTAACCCTGATTGCCTCACCAAAAAGCAAAGAAAAAAAAAAGCAACGATGGGTGGTGAATCTATCCTGGTGCCCCTGGATCCACAGGCCTTCCATAGGGTCTCCCCCACTCCTTCCTCATGCAGACAAAGGTTAAGGCTTACGAGGCATGGGCTTCCTGCACACTCCAGCCCCCTCCCACTGTTCTTTTTTCCCTACCACTAACTTGACCTGCCCCTCGTGTTCAAAGAAAAGTCTTGATTTGACTTCTGCGCTGACCCCTGCACATCCTCCTTTGTGCTCTGGACAGTCGTCTGTGAACCTCAGGGCAGGACCTCGGCCAGGCTAGTGACCTCGATGGGCTGGGAGGAGGGCAGAATCACCGCTGTCTTCTAGTCTACTCCTGACGGCAGAGTGACGTGGTCAGACGTGTATCCCTGGGGTTCATTTTTGAAACATTCGCCTCCTCCCCTCGGGCCAAGGACAAACAGGGCCCCAACCTGAAGATGAGAACCAGCAGTATCAGGCCCTTAGGATACAAAAGGCCCAGTGCTACGCGATGGGGACACAAACACAGCAGAGAGAAGGCCGGGCCTGGACTCAAGCAAGTTACGTTTCAGTGTGGGAGCACGGCACCTGAAAGGGAGCCTGGAAGCAGGGGCCGGGGCCTAGCTGTGAGGTCTGGAGGCCAGGAAAGGGAGGGAAGGCCGAGGCCTCAGCAGGAGCCTCGCCCACAGAGGACACTCGGTATGAGTGGGAGCAAAGGAGGGACGCCAAATCAACTTCATGCCATTTTCTCTTCTCTTTTAAAATGAAAACTACATTCCCCAAAGAAACAAGTTCAGTGAGTGGCCAAAACATGGAGTGCCCCTTCAGCTGCTCAGTGGAAAGCCAATCAAGCGGCTGCCCTCACAGACAGTCTGGGGAGGGGCTGAGCTGAGGGCTGCCTTTGGCAGAGGGCCCACTTTCGTCCGCCTGGCCCCCCGGCCGAGCTCGGTCTCCAGGTAGGGAGTCTGACTCGGGCTGCCTGCGCTCAGCAGCCCGCTGCAAGGTGCCCTCCTGGGCCGCAGCATCCCACACTGCACCAGGATGATTAGGGTCTCCTGTTCTTCCCTCACTTTCTGCCTTCTTTTGTTCTCATCTTCAGTTACTAAGACAACAAAACACAGGAGAGCTTTTTTACCCCCTAATCGCAGGCCAGAAAAGACCTCCCCAGAACAAAGTGCAGGGAGCTGCTGGCCTCCACACAGCCCGATCCAGGTGCAGGGGGGAGGCGTCTCTGCCCCAAGGCCAGGGAGGCCACTTACTAGCTGTGGGACCTGCTTCTATCTGCCCAAGCTTCTTCATCTGCAAGACAGGGATCACAGCAGCCCCTCCCTCCCTCCGGGGGTGGGGGGGTGGGGGGGGTTGTGAGGATCAAGGGAGACGAGGCTGGGAAGGCACTCTGCAAATCCTAAATTGCTCAAGAAGCGTGCACTCTTCTTACCATTGTAGGCACGTGCCCATTGACTGACTGCAGAGGGGAGGCCAGCCCTGGGGTCTGGCAGAGACCCTCAAGGTCATCAAATCCAACCCCTCTTTTACAGAAGAGGAAACTGAGGCCCAAGGAGAATTAGCGACTTGTTCAGGGCTTCTCAGGTCTGAGCCCAGCTGTGCCGACCATAAGGCCAGTGACCTCGAGTGCCCTGCCCTTCTATAAGACTGTGTGTGGTGGAGATGGGGACTTCCCTAGGCTGGGCTGGAGGAAAGCCCCAAAATCCCCCACCCAAGACAGTAAGTGGACAGGCCTGGCCTGGGATCCCCACAGAGCTGCCTCCTCCTCTGAGCCCTCATTTGGGGACTGGCCCCCACATAAACAGACCACCCCACTGCAGTTAACTGGGGTCTAGTGGGCCGGGACCCAAGAGAGCTGACAAGCACCTCATCCAGCCCTCTCACGTTACAGAAGAATCAGCTGGGGCCAGGAGAGGAGAGATGACTCGTCCAAGGGCGCATCATCAGTGAATGGTGAAACTGGGCAGTGGGAGCAGCCCCTGGGGTGCCCCCAGGTGACCCCCTCCCTCATCCTGCTGGGCCCACACAGGCCTCCAGCCCCCTTCCCTGCCCCTGCGTGCCCTCATGTCCCACCTGCCTGTCGTGGCAGCCCCGTGGGACGTCGGCCCCCGGAGGCCGAGGGTGCCTGGCACACAGCGAGCGCTGAGTAGCTGCTCTACGTGTGTATGTATCAACATTGTGAGGCCTCTCCTGTTCAGGAGCCTGGAGGTTTCCTCACAACAAACCTTGGGAGGCAGGTAGCACAACTGTTACTGCAGCCATTTTGGAGTGACCTACTCAAGATCCCACAAGGGCTGTCAAAGCTGGGACAAGGCCTGGGTCTCCAGACATTTCTCTCACCCTGACGCTGCTGTCCTTAGCTGGAGGCAGTCAGATGGACACATCTCTGTTCCTCGGCGGAGCCCCCAAAGTTTCCTCAGGAAGGGGGGACGGATAAGAAGAAAACAGTGCGTAAGGAAAGTGAGCCCAGTAGCAACTCGCCAGACCGAGCAGGGAGGGAGACATGTCTAGTGAGGACAAAGTTTCTCCAGTCTAGGCGGGAGGTGATGAGGCTGGTAATAAAGGCCATGAGAAGAGAGCTGGATCTGAGAAACAAGGCGGGGAGACTTCCCCAAGAACCCTGGACGCCTGCCTGGAGGAGGGGTAAGGGGAGGGAAGGCTCCGACACGGCCCTGGGGGACGGGGCAACAGCTTTGACTCTGTACAGACGGGAGTGGGCAGGGGCACACGCTGGCAGGGCATCTGGCCCTGGCAGCCGGAGATGAGGGGTGCACCCGTGTGGGGCTGGGACATCGAGGGGCGAGGAGGACGTCGCGGCTGGGGCTCTGGGAGCGGATGAGACGTCTGAACACAAGGACGCAGAGAAGGCTGAACTGAGCAGTGGGGATGTTTCTGGTGGGTACAAGGATGAAGACCCTCTGAAGGAGACAGAAAGCAACACCAGGAAAAGAGGGCGCTTCTCCTCACTCCTGAGGACTCAGCGCCAGGACGCCTTCCCTGATGGCCGCAGCCGGCCTGCACCGTCTCTCCCCCTCTGAATTCCAAGGATACGTCCTGTTCTCAGCCCAAAGTGATGGTAGCGCCACCTGCTGAAAGGGCAGCCAGCCTGGGCCGTACGTCCTGCCCAGGGGCTCCTGAACTGCAGTCTGCTTCCTGGCTTCCTACAGTGGCTCAGCTCGAGTCTCCCACCTTCTGCAGGAGCATCTCGGGAGCCTCCGGGGTGAACGTCTCCAATCTGTCCCATGCACATCTCGCAGGTGCTTAATACATGCCTGCTAATCAATTGTATTTCAGTGTAATTGGTTTCCCTTGGGACCCTACGAATTTTATTTTATGCATTTATAACATTCTTCTAAGAAGGGGTCCAGGGGCATCACCCTGGCTGCCCAAGCGGCCATGACCCCAAACAGTCAAGGACATTTTTAGGCATACATTTTAAGATCTCCAGGGACACTAAATAAGTGAGAAGAAGACCAGAAAGCCTGGGGGGCCAGAAGAGAAAGGTGGCTGTGACCCCTGCAGCACCGAAGGGCGATGGGGCCCGCCCGGATGGGCCCGCCCAGCTGGGCCACAGGGAGGCTTGGCCTTCCTGCTCCCCTGCCATCTGCTTCTCTCACAGCCTTCACATACCAGTCTGGTTTCCCTAGGAGGCTTCCCTCCTGGCAGGAAAAGGTGGAAACCCTTCTGGGGCCTGGTACCCTACTATCCGTTCCCCTCAGTCCTGAGTCTCCAGACCCACAGCTCCAAAACAACAACCGGGCAGTAGAGAAGCCACAGCCTGGCTCATGAGATGAAGGCTGAAGAAGAGACGCGTCCCGAGTTCTATTCTGTTCCCACTTCCAGCTGGCCGAGTGAGAGGCAACACCGTGCAAGCCACTTTCTTTATTTCTCTGGTTCCTCTGCAAAGTGAGTGGGACAGTATGGCCGTGACCGCCTCAGGGAAGGGGAGAAGCTACGCTTAAGAGGGCCACTGCCTAACTGGAGAAATCTGATGCCCAAGTCAGGGAACCAGCCCAGGAACTGAGCACACTGGAATGCCATCCTCTCGCCAAGCTAAGGGGCATGGGGGAGAGTTCAGTTGACTTTGATTTTATTTCTTTAAACGTCTCTAAGTTTATTCTGAACCGACGCACCACGTAAAAATGGTATTTTCATCTCCACAGCAGAACAGAAAAAGAAGACTGCACGTGCAACTCTGAATCCCCACTGGGTGCCGACAGCCTTCCATGGCTGGGTGACATCTCAATCACCTATTACTGGCAGCAAAAGTAGCAAGTCTGGTTCCTGAAAGCTGGGCGTGCTTGGCATCTCTCTGCAGGGCCCTGAGGCCAAGGGCAGGCTGGTGCTGGTTAGCTGCCAATGGAATGCCTTGGCGCTACTCCTCAGGCTCAGCGCAGGCTGCCAAGGCCAACCTGAAGGATGCCGTGCAGTGGGAATTCCCTGGTCCTGGGTTCGAGTCTTCTCTCTGACAGGTGAGGCATTGGCATAGCAGTAGGAAGGAACAGAACGAAGGAATAAGGGGTGAAAATGGCTGGAGTGGCTTTCTAGGGAAGAGGAGGGTAGTGTGAGACTCGCGTTCCCGTCTTCCCGTGGGTTGATCACACCCCTGGAGCTTGGTCAAGGGGCCCCACTGTGGAGACCACTCTTCTAACCACTGCAGCACTGGATCCCAACTCAGCTGTCCAGTGGGTGGGTGTTCCTTCCTGGCTTTGGGTTATCTGCCATCTGCGCCTCCATTTGAGTCCTGGATGAAAATGCTTAAGCCAGGAACAGACCCCTGGGGCCCTCTGGCAGAGACCTGCCACCATTCTGGCACCGGAACGTAAAGGACTGCCCTGGATCTAGTCCGTGGGCCAGCTCCTCATCTACCGTCATCTGGGCCGTCCGCACCCCCAGCTCTTCCACCAGAACAGAATGACGTTCTTCATCAAAGAATGCTTTGTAGAAAGAATGTCAGACGCCCAGACGCCCAGATGCCCAGGCCGGCAAGAGATCCCTGAGAGCGACTGACGGGAAGAGAACAGCAAACCGTAGAGATGGAGACCCACATGTGTACAGTCCTCTTTTTCCGGTTTATTTACATGGAAATGCCAATTTTATTGGGTGCTTGAATGCAAAATAGAGCGAATTCAAATAAACAAACCCGAAGCCAACTTTATCTATGGCATTCCTTGCATGCACTACCTTAGTAAGCCAGTCCAGCATGAGGCGGTCTTGATGAAGCCTTAACTAGCTCTGCAGAATGGTACACTTTCCAGTTTCCCAAGAATCAAAGCCAACTTAGTGGCCCATGGTTTTCACACTTTGTTCCCTCCCCTTTTTTAAAAATGGGTACAACGTTGTCCCTTCTCCATGGTACTGGCCTCTCCATTTCCCACGAGTTCTCCAAAGTCATGGACAGTGGCACCGCCATTCCATCCGATCTGCCCACTCATTCAGGTGTGAGGGATGTCATTCCTGAGGGGGGGCTCGAATTCACCCAGGCCAGCCTGGGGCTCTCTGACTATCTCCTCTCTTGCCTCGTGTCCCTAAATTGAGCCCTCTCTTTCTGCCAGCAGAGCCGAAAGGACCCCTCAGCTCATGCTGCCTCAGCATCCCCGCCACCATGAGGACATGGCCGTGTGTCATCATCTGCTACTTTCCTGTGCCTCGGTCTTCTATTTCCTTTCTCAAACTAAGCCAATCACATAGCTTAGAAAGGCAGTCAATTAATCAGCATTCGAGGATGGACTTGTTATTGATTTTTCTTGTGAACTCAACATTGACCTTCACAAACATTTCAACATACACACAACAAAGAAAAACAGGTTTTTAAAAAAGATTGGAAGCCAGATGATACAACTTATAGAGGGCAGGGCTTGGAATCTGAAAGAGCTAAGTTCAAATCCTACCTCAAATACTTACAAGCAGTGCAACCCTGGGCAAGTCACTTCACCTCTCTTTGCCTCAGTTTCCTCATCTGTAAGATGGGGATCACAACAGCCCCTCCCTTCCAGGGTTGTTGTGAGGATCAAATGAGATAATATTTGTAAAGTACTTTGTAAAGCCTTCTAGAAAAGCTGAATGCTAATATGAATTCCTGCATTTCTATTAAGGGCATATTAAATTTAACAAGGGTACCAACACACCCAGCTTCTCTGTGTCCCTTTCTGAACTCTGCTACTCTCTTCTGTGTGTGTATTTGTTTTTTTTGTTTTATTAATTTATTTTGAATTATCAGCAATCACTTCCATAAGCTTTTGAGTTTTAAATTTTTCCCCCCTTCTCTCCCCACCTCCCTCCCCAAGATGGCGCACAATCTGATATAGGCTATACATATATATTCCTATTAAACATATTTTCACATTAGTGATGTTGTAAGTAAGAATTAGAACCAATAGGAGGAACCACCAGGAAGAGGAAACAAAACACAACAGAAGAAAAGAAAATAGCAAATGGTATGCTTTGATCTGCATTCAAACTGCATAGTTCTTTCTCTGGATATGGACAGCATCTTCCATCACGAGGCCTTTGGAGAGGTCTCAGATCCTGGCATTGCTGAGAAGGGCTGAGTCTGCCAAAGTCAGTCATCACACAACGTGGCTGTCACTGTGTACAACGTTCTCCTGGTTCTGCTCACTTCCCTCAGCATCAGACCATACAAGTCTTGTATTTGTTTTTAATCATTATTTATTTTTAGTTTTCCACATTCACTTCCCTAAGATTCGAGTACAATCTGATACAGACTCTACTTCTTCATTCCTATCCAGCATGTTTTCCCTTTAGTCATGTTGTAAAGAACAATTAGAACTGATGGGAGGAACCAGAAAACCACAATGGAAAAGAAGAGCACACAGCCCGCTTCCGTCTACATTCAGATCTCTGTCCTTCTTCTTAATGTTTCAGTGACAGTCTTCTTTTTTTCGCATTGCTGTCACCACCCACCCACTCCCCCACCCATTCCCCGTCCCCCAAGCAGAGGCCCCTCTTTGGAATCGGTAAGTGGAATCAAACAAAACAAACGCACACATCTGTTCTGTCATTCCCCAATTGACAGGCTCCTTCTCTGTTCTCTGCTGCTAAAAATATTTAAAATGAACGAACGTGGTCCCCACCCATGTAGGGCTGGCTTTCTCCCACAGAATTTTAGTCCGTGGGATCCTGCTCCTCTAAACAAACCCTCTGACATCTTCAACATGAACGTGGCAGATTATGCCCAGCTCTCCTCTACCACCAGCTCAAGAAATGACTGGCCACTCCCTCCTCCCACTGTAACATCAGAGAGCAGGGTGGTGGGGAGGGAGACAGACAGACAGACAGACAGACACACACACACACACACACACAGTGTTCTGGCAGAGATCTGGATAACTGAAGGTTCTCTTCACAAGCGTACTGTGTCTCCAAATTAGGCACATGACCTGTTTCCTGACCTTGTCCACTTCTCCATTCTGTCTACAGAGTGGGCAATCCTTGCCGGGGTTGAAATCATTCCTGTTTCTTCATGCTCCCTGCTCTGGGTCCAGAGCAGCATCCCTTCTTCCCCTACAATTCAGCGCCGCTGACCAGGCCTCCTGCTTTGGCCAAAGGACAGTCCAGGCACATTTCAAGCCCCCGTGGTCGCCACGATACCGATGTGGCCGGACTTGCCCCCTCTGCGTTAGGACCTCTAGTCCTCGCTTGCTGCCCGAACACTTGAGGTCGGGGTCTGGCTCTCGGTCAGTACATTTTGGTCTCGGTGTCCAGTGGACGTCTGGCTGTTATGACCACTCTCCTTCCTTGTTTCTGTTAAGGTGGTGGGGGCGCGGAGGGGGGTGCTATTCGTTGTCTTTCCAGCACTCAGCCCAGTGTCTGGCACACAGCAGGTGCTGAATCAATGTTTGCTGACTTCTCTCCACCCCCTTCATCCTAATGACTCCCTACAACACCTAGCTCCTTTATGGTTTAAGCCCTTCTCATGAGACTGACCTGTGGTACCTTCTCTCCGTGACCAGGAGCTGGTCATCCCTGCATTTTAGGCCGGGTCCAGAAGTCCAAATTCCCTTAAACACTGCTTATTTCCTCTTCTGCATTCCTTGCCCTTCACAGGCAACAGTGAGGAAGCACAAGCTGAGCCCTGCCCCACCTTTGTCTTCCTAACCTTTCACCACACCCTTCTTAGCATCCTGTGGGATGTATGAAGCCGGCCCCCTCACAACGTGCTGACACCCACAGTGGGCCCTGCACGGCTCCCAGCTTTGACCGGCCACACTTGTAACATCACGGCAGCGTGAGGCGTGGCATCCCCAAAGTTAGAATGGGGAGGGATAATATGGTCCCACCCACACATCCCTTAAGATAAAGAAATGCTGCCTGGACCTACGGGGACAAGATGGGGAATTGGAAACCCAAATGAATTCTCACGGGGCATTAGCTTACCTGTCAAACAGCTTTGGATGGAGCTTGAGATGGAAGCCACGGGAAGGTCATCAAAATAACTAGAGTCAGGACAGTCAGAAACAGCAAACCCCGGCCACCCAGCAAAAAGATATCCTTCCATCCTGAAGAGAAAAGAAAAGGATGAGAACAGAGCAGAGGCCACAGGATCTGGCCACTGAGATGCCCTGGGGAAAGGCCGTCCCTGCTGATTGGCAAGGTCACAGGCAGACCGAAAGAGGCAGGACACAAGGGTGGAGTGATCAGATGGAGCAGACAAGGGGTGTCTGGCTGTGGAAGGAATGAGAGCTCATGGAGGGCAGCTAGAGGCAGCAGTCTTAAACCTGCTTGAGTCATGTCTGGTGAGGGGTTCCAGGGCCCCAAAAGGGTGAAAAGCCCCTGGTCTAGACCACAGGTGGCAAACTTGTGGTGAGTGCAGCCCCCACAAGATTAACGTGTTACTGGGAAACCATGTGAAGAAATTATCCAAATCACTGTATTAACAAGAGAAATGCAAATTGAAACAACCCTGGGGTTTCACCTCACGCTCTCAAAGATGACAAACTAGATGGCAACAGTCCACGTTGGAGGGGCTGCGAAAGGACATGCACACTGATACATTGTTGGTGGAGCTGTGAGAGGTACCACCATTGTGGAAGACATTTCGGAATGATGCAAGTCTATACCCTTGGAACCAAGGACTCCCATCACCGCCAGGAACAAAGTCCCCAAAACCCGTGTGCTGTTACAGACAGCAAAGGGCCGTAAACAACGTAGACACCCACCAAGCGGGGAATGGTTAAACCAACGGGGGCGCGTGGATGTCATGGACGCCCAAAGACGCGACGGCTGCGATGAGTGCAGAGAAGCAGGAGAAATCGACACGAACTGACGCAGGGCCAGCAGAGCCACACGGGGAGGGGGGCAATCACCAAGAGTGACTCCGCCCCCTTCCCAGCATGCCTTGCCGCGCGAGCGGGCCTGCAGCATGCTGGGAACCGTAGTCCCCACGAGGACGGCCTGCGGAAGCCCAGGGGCAGGAAGGGAAAAGGCGGAGGGACGCCCAAGGAGAAAGGTGGGGGCCTCGCCTGGGTTGAAGCCCGGGCTCCGTAGCTGCAGGCTGAGCAGGGGCAAGGCCCAGAGCGCAAGCGCGGCTCCGCCCCCTCCCCGCCTCCGCCCCGCCCACTGCCTCGGGTTGCTACCATCCGGAGAAAGGGGGGGAACCCCCGCAGAGGAGGCGTCTGACGATAACGAATCTGAAAGCCGCGATGACGTTAGTCTGGAAGTGGGTTTGGCATTTATGCTTTGGGGCTATGTTGCCTTATAAAGAGTTTTAATCTCCGAAAAGCTTTCAATGACCCCCAGCAAACTTAGGCTATGGTAGCGTCCGGAGCGGGAGAGGCGCGAGGACGGGGAGAGGGGGTGGGGCTCGTCTCCTGGGCTTGAGCGGCCAATCCCTTCCGCGTCCCCAAGCAGACTGCCGCCCCCTCCCCCAAGGGCGGCTCTGGGTCTAGGATAAGCTGCCCTAGGCTAGACTTTCTAGCCCTCCGCGGCCTGGCTCCAAAGACCCCTTGGGGCCAGGTTACCTTCCCATTGCACCCCATCATGCTCAGGTTCTGGTCCCCAGACTCCGGGTGCCGCCTCTAGTGCCCAGCCAATGCCACGGGGCCCTGCACACAGTAGGACCTTCATACATGACCTCCCATATCGCCGTGGTGACGTCCATGCGATGTCCCTTTGGGACACAATGGACACGGGGCCCTCGGTGTCCCCAGCCCGGCGGTCTGAGCAAGCGGGGTGCCAGAGAGCCGAAGGAAGGGCCCCAGGACGCCGGCGAGAACCAACACGGTGCCCTGGGATCGGGGGTCAGGAGTCCCTCCAGTCAGGTGTTGATGGGGTGCTTGTGCTTGGACCCCAAGTTCTCCCTAGCTTCAGAAACACCGTCTCTGACCATCACTCCCCAGCCCAGGACACTGTGCTTAGCAGTCACTCACGGGTGGGCCCCAGCACGACCCTCATCTCGCTCCCTGGTGCGGCTACACAAAGCTGGGGGACGGAGTGCTGGGCTGCTCAGGCCCCAGCCCTTAGATCATGTCTCTGGAAGCCTCCCAATTCCTGGCTGGCCCAAGGACTCTTCCTCCTGCCAGACTCCACAGATCCATACCTCTGACATCTCCCTCCCTGTCTGGTATACTCCCTGCACCTTCCCATCCACCTTCCCAACCCTAACCCTTCGCCATCTTTGGCGCTCCCAAAGACACCTGGACCTTTAGATTGCCCAATCAGTGTCCCTGGCATTCCTTTCCCATGCCCTTTTCTATCTAAACCCCAGCTCCATCCTCAGTCTCTCCCAGGTTCCTTAAGTATCGTTGCTGGCTGAAAAGCGTAACAATAAACCTTTGCCACCTTGACTTAAAGAACGCTTGAGTCTGTGAATTCATTCCAGATGACCCCGTCCTGTACTCCAGTCTTTGAGGGGTCTCAACCTGTCAGACCACAACAGTGTGACCTGGGGCAAACCATACAGCCGTGTGTGCGAGTCTGCAAAGGAATAAAACCCTCGTGCCCCACTGCCACGGACCTCAGGGAGCCCACAGCTCCGTGGTGAGGGCGGCTGTGGTCACCGCGTGTGGGCGGACATGCCTCGGGCCAGCCCAGGGGGATGCCCACCCTGGCAGTGCCCAGGCCCCGGCGCAGCAGGCCCTTCGGTGCCGATGAATCATCCGAGGCTGAAGAAGGTTTCCATAGAGTGCTAAGAGATACACGAGCACGTGCAGCCCTGACCTGGCCAGAGACACAACCAAGAGGCACCTGCCCTCCAGAGGCTTACATTCTAGACGAGGCAAAGCGCCCACCCCGGAGGAGCCGGAGCGCCTCCTTCCTCGTCCCCAGCCCCCTTATCCGAGGGTAACGGCCCCCAGAGGAGGCCAGAACCCCGGGGCGGTACCCCCCCCC